TCTAGGGAATAAACTTGAATTCATCGTGCAATACTTTTTGTGAGAAGATTCTCGTTTTTTCGGGTTCAAATTCAGCTTGTTCGTTATTTAACTGTGAAAGGTTATCTATTGGCAACTTTATGTTTTCTTATGGTACACATGGCGATGTATGTATATATCCGCCACATCCTCGAACGGGATGTATAGCAAGAGACGGTTTTGGGTCATCTGTTTCTGTTCCCCTTGTAAATGTTCTGGTCTTGCAATTGGCGTTGAGGCTTTCTAGCGGTTGATCCTATCCGCATTTTGATTCAACTATGAACAATATGTCGTCTTGCAACCGACAATTTTATAAAGACTTGCGGCGGCACCTTCAATAGTTTCTTGTCCCGCATTTTCACAAGAATATACGCCAAGACGGAATATCGACCGGTGATTTTGGAACTGCAGAAGATTGTTCACATGGACACAAACAAAGTTTGTGATACTGAGTTGAGTTTCATAAATTTAAAACCATTTTTTCAAATATTCAAGAGGAATGTGATGAAGCTGACGAGAGATTACGGAGTACAGCTAGTCAATACCGGATCGAAGGGGAACGAGAATGTGATAATTCAAAACCCATTCGTAACATTTATTTGAATAACGATTCAGGTTGTATGTGGCCTTGTACTATGCGATGTGGGTTCCACAAACGGAATGGACTACTGCGTTTGTTCTTCAGAACTAAACATTGCTATCGTCTTTTCTGAAAATAGTATTAGGTTTTTGGATCGAATTCTTACTTGTAATAAAATATGTAGGGTCAACGGAAATAAGAAAAGGGCCGAGCGGCTAGATCTAATTAATGTTTTGCAATCTTTCGACCTAGGTGAACTATACAACATCCGGAAATTGTAAACAACCTCATTAGATAGACGTTTTAGATATTTTTGCCACAACAGATAAGCAAATAGAACACATCTGCTAACTATAAAGAAGAACCATTCGAAAGTACAATGTAGAATATTCCGTCAACAATCTGTTTACTCCATCATCGGAATACAGGTGAAATAGACATAGCCCGGTAAATCCGAATGATGATACCACTGTTGGTAACACTAGTCACATTGAATATTATAAGGTACATATTACCAATATAAATTGCTTATTTTTTACAATTCAGATTCACAGCAGATCACTTCTGACCCAGACATTGATTTTTTAATTTCGTGAATTAGCTGAGAACTTTTCGATATTTTAGTATTTCACTTCAGCCACTGTCTATAGTCTAACTTTTAACGAAAATATTTTACGAATATGCTACATAAGGCATACACGTGATAGAATTCCTGTGTTGAACAGATACTTTATCAAATACTGTGTACCACCTTTCTGTTTCTCCGTAGTTATGCCTGAGAACTTCATTTTGGTTTCACTGTGGAGAACCAAATATGGTACTCTTTTTAGGTAGTCCAATTTAAATGTCTACATTGACAAAGATTTTACATATGGATATAAAATATTGTTGACGTTGTGACGGATTAAATAGGAACAATGAACGGTTAGATCCATATAAATTCAGAAATATGTGTTGTGTCTTTCTCGATCACTCACAGTTTTACATACAAGGATAAAACACAGTGGGAAACACAAGGATAAAAATACGGTGACACACGAGAATAATACACAATGACACACAGAAGTATAATACACGACACCCAACGACACAGAACGACGTGAGACATAATGTACCCGAGATGGAGCCGACAGAACGTAACACAACACAACTATATTGACGTTCATAACGAAACACACACTGGACACTCACGTACGACGTGCGCCAAAATTTTAAATTATAAAAGTATAAATTTAAAAATAATCCAAAAATTAGCAGTTTCAGCAAAAAATTCGATCTACCTAACACTGTGCTTTATAGTTCGCCCGGAATACCACGGTCGATTTATTCAATCGCGAAGCTAATAGAAACGGCCAATCTTTATACAATGAATAACATTTTATTCATTTTATATTTTTGAAGGTTTTATAGTTATTTTCATGGCTATGGTTAATAACTTCTTACTTTTCTTGACGCATAGTTTTGTCGTTTCGACGACAGGTTTGCATATATTGCTTCTGCAAAACAGTACATGGTAATTTATTCTTCTACTGCTGCGAACAGCTTCACTCACGTTGGAATGTATGCTGTGTTTGTGCTTCGTCGAGTATCAGAATGATTAGGTGCTTTGCACACGGATGAAGTAGTGTGGGAGAGAATACGATGTAGAACACAGCCTGAGTGCTAAATGCTGATGCCGGCATTTGGTGACCACTAGTTTGAACGGATGTCCTCTAAAATGAACTGGATAATTTTAGCAGCGGGTAACACAGCCGTCCTTGGTTTTGCAATGTTTGGTTTACCATGATCATATCTCCTATGATGGACTGGTAATGATTTGAGGAAAACCCCTAATACACTAGTCCCTCTGTATATGAATACCGATTAAACTCTTTACCGTTTTGTGAACGCTCCAGCATTTTGCAACCAGGATGTAGCCGTTTATTCCACACATGGATATCGTACGCTGTGAGTGGACGAATGAATGCTGATGGTAAACGGGGAAAAGCGCTGATTCAAACCGATCAAAGACACGCCTAAGCAAACCGATATTCTTTAGAGCTGTGTCGGACAGCCTGGTACATTTCAGTGAGCAAATTAAGTTTTCTTGCATAACGATCCCCACACCCTTCCCACTTGAAGCGTGTGGCAGTTGTTCATTTCCGAGGATATATGAATATCGCCCATTGTGTCGTGGAAATGGAACCTTACACGTTCAAAAGAGACCAGAGATGAGCTGCTTCCAGGGTTCCTCAGAGTGTCAGGGAGCTCGTTGGTTGCGTCAATGTATTTAAAATTTTAGCGTCGTCTGCAAACATTGATGATTTTGGTCCCAGCTCCTTCGCTACGTCGGTTATGAATGTTAGAAAAGTGGCAGGCCTGGCACAGATCCTTATGGAACCCCGAGGGTAACATCCATAGAACTGGAAATCGAATCAAAAACACGAATTGATACTGTGTAATGTCTGTAAAATGATTCAATCCAATCAAGCATGAGTTCCGATCACCTTACGTAGAGTTTTCTGAGTAGGATTTCGTGGTTTACCCGTTCGAACGTTATCGCGAATTCCTGATAAATGCAGTCTACTGTTTCACCGTCATCAGCTGCTTTTATCCATTCTTCTTGTGCGATAAGTAAATTGGTAGTGCAGGATTGCTTCTGACGGAATCCATATTCGATCGGCCACAGACGTTTGTGCTTCTCTAAGTGTTCCATCAGGTAATCTACTACTATTGACTCCATGACTTCGAACAAATATTGAAGGAGGGTGATAGGGCGGAAGTTAGCGGGATCGCTACGGCAATCGCCTCTACAAAAGGACAAGATTACTTCCCGCGTCCACGACGGTACGATGGCAGTGTGATTGAACCTCCTCACAACGTTCAAAATCCGTAAGGACTAATTAATCTTTGGTTATTATAAGAACAACTGAGTAGACTGGATTTAGTACGCCTTCGTCTGGTTTTCCCAGGGGGCAGGCAAAACAACCCTTCCAATTCCAATTAGGAATGGATACATCCTGTTTGTTTGGTAATTTTCCGATATCACATTATTGTTTAAAATATATTGCTTTCATTCGAAATCTTTGTAGCTGATACCACCTGTGGGCAGGAAACTGTAGTAGATTCACCAATAAACCATTCTGATCGATTGGCACCAAATTCTCCTTCGTTAGGCAGTTGTAAAGATACCTAAAGATACCTGTAAATTTTATATTTGAACAAATATGTGCGTACAAGCAAAGACAAACACCATTCGTTGGTCTGATTGAGTTTGAGCCGGATACAGGAACCCTATAAACCTTTCACGTATGTCTATATTTCGATAGATTCCATACTTTGTGGTGGAAAACGTATCAAAGCAGTCACAATGTAGACACCCAGACGAATTACACAGCAGTTTATTGCATGTCTGCTTTACACATATTCTGACAATTCCAGGAACCAGATGTAATATTCCATGCTCAGTCGTTTTAAAGGCTTAGCAAA